CTCAAATAGATTTAGAGAAACAAGAAAGTGTGATATTGGAGGGGTGATACGAGGATATAGGATAAGTGGAGAGCCCAGGACAGAATGAAAGATATCACAACTGTTTAGCAGACAATTGGTTAAAGGATCGACTGTACTTATCTTATTGACGAGTTGTAGTGTGGTGCTAAGAATAACAAGACTCACTGACAATGTCACCACAATGTCGACGAAACGTCTGTTAATGTACAAATTCCACAATCCGACTCTTAAAATTATCCTACATACTATCGACTCCGGACAAGGTGCGTTCTTCTAGGTCTTCCTGCCAATATGACGAAGTTGCAAAAACAAGGTCAAACAACTTCTATTTGACGAAAGGAGACCGCGACCATACAATAGGCCACACAATTTTGGTCTTCATGCCTTCGGAAAGAATAATAACTTTATAAAAGAAAAAGTAAAATTTACAAGTTATCAAATGTATAAATATGAAGCATAATCGATCATATAGGTGCAAAATAATGACTAAGTTTTGATACTACCAGCAGAGTTTGAATAAAACCTCTAATCACCTTAGCTCACGCAAAGTGATGGATATTTGACAATTGAATTTTCTTTAAATGATATAGTAGGCCTAAGGACATCACTGAAATTTTATTTAATCTTCACTGATAAAGGTATTCTCATCCAGAGTAGACTGCAGTTTCGACCTCACATAGGTCTCATAACAAGCCCAAAAAATAAGCCAGAATAGTGTAACGCACAATTTAAATATGTCGTCACAAAACCATACTACCACGAGTGCCAGTGAGTCACTGAACAGACATAGCTTTCAAAACAAGGCTGGCTATACAGTATAATCGATAAAGATACTTATATAAATATAGAGTAGACTTAGATACTACCTACAGCTCTATAATAAGATCTGTATTCACCCTAGGTAGTACAAGATGATGAATGTCTAAAAGTTGAATTTTCCCACAATGATGTAATTAGGTCTTAAAATGCATAACAATAGGCATTCTCAACCATGGTGGAAGCAGCGATAACAGAAAATATGAGCTAAAAGGTTCGATTACAACTTAGGATGCTGATGAGACAAAG